CACGCCTTCATGTCTGTTCAAACTGTTAGTATCTGGAATTTTATGATTAGATGTATTTTCAAAATTATGGTGTTTAGGATTGGAGTTTAGTAGAAGCACCCTGTCGGACTTATTGCTTTGTCTTCTTTCTGAAGACTGAGCTGTTTTATTCGACCTACTAGAGTTGTCAGGTGTCTCGACAGCTACGGATTTAGGATATGCATTCTGTTGCAGACAACAGAGAGTGAGAACACGATGATTGTGCCAATTACACAGTTTCTTTGTTAATTTAATTCGGTGCCCAAATATTTTAAAACTATATCAAATCTTGACGACAGTTCATTTGAATATGTAAAGCTGCCTTAAAGAATACTATCCTTGTAGTTTTGTTTTCCGTATGTTTATTAGCTTGTTTGAACGATTACCTGATTCAATTGATTGATTGATTGATTGCCTGCCTGACTAGCTGGCTGACTGACCGACCGGCTAACTAACAATCCATTCATTCCTAGTGAGAACAATGCATGAATACATTTTAATTTAATCAGTGTTCAATTCCCTCCACATAACACGATATCGCTGTTCTATAATTCAATATTATTATTATTATGTTTATATTGATTAGCTGCTAGATAAGCTTGTCTTCAGCATTGACTATAATTATCTTTAGTGTTTTACTCATGTTCACTGGCGGATATATCTGTGTTTGTGTGTCAGTGTGCGTGAGTTGGAGAGGAAAGAATAAGTATATGCCTTACTTCAGTGTATGTGTGTATGCTTGTGTGTGTGTATAACGTTGTGGAACAGTTGACCTTATTTTCTCTCAGTTAATCGTATTACATAAATCGTGTTTCACTTTTGGGCTATTGTAAGCCTTAAATAATTCTAGGTCATCCAATATGTTTAGGGAACCTGAGTAAACAATGCATATATATATATATATATATATATATAGGCATGAGGCATAACTATCTGCAAGCATGAGCGTGATTGTATCAATGTGACCGGTGGTTATCGACCTAATTGACTTGAATATAACATGAACCAATCAAGAGGTACACCGGTGGCCTGTGTTCTAAGATTTGATCAATACATAGTGAAACAAGTAAACAAAAGAATTATATATATATATATATATATATATATACATATATATATTGCTTAGGAAATCTAGCCATATGTCACTTAAGCTAATTCACTGATCATGTGTATAGACATGCAAGCATAGTTCAAACTTGATAGTGTAGAGGAATTTAGTCTTATAACTTATATGTAGCTTTAGCCGTTAGTTTCAGACACTAGGTCACCAGTTCTGGGACCCTTCTCACAATTTGTGTAAGCTTAAGCAGCTGCGTGCTATCATCACCCTTTACATAATGAGTATGTTTTTCGAGTTTGACTAGGGATTGATATCAGTTAGAGAAATATTGAAAACTACCAAGGGTTACTGGACAGCTGTTTCAGCCAGCTTAGTTTGGGATTCATTGAAAGTACACACTGACTGGGTTTCGAACCCAAGACCTTCCAGTTACAATGCAAGCTCGTTGTTATGATGCTAGATCTTTTGTCACGAGGTCACTACTTAACTACTGACCAGTGCCAGCTTAACTGGTAAAGCAGAACACGCGAGAATCAGCGGTAAAACCAGGTTCATTTATTATGACAAAATTGACTGTATTCATACAGGAAATAAGGTAGACTGGAAATCAACCAATCCGGTTAAGAGTTGGAATTGTGCAAGCGTTCAATCAGAAGCAGGAACAATTGCATGTCAACGACTTGTTAATAACGCCATAATAACTTGACTGAGACATGATAATAACCTGATAATTGCATGTGTTTTGCCTCTTCCTAACACTCGTAGCCAGTTCAGTCCCTGGGACCTGGTTGAATGGCCCATGAATTCTAACTTCTATCAATTCGTGATGTATTTAGCGCGACCACCAACCAATGTCGTCGGCGGGAACTCCATCCTCACTCCCGACTGGTCACGACTTCTCACTAGAACTCGAGGAAACTCTGTCCTGTAGCAAGTCACTGGGTGGGAGCATCAGATTAATTTTCAAGGATTAGTTTGTAGGGATTCTATTTGTTTCAGGTTAGATCACGGACTGATATCAGGTCATTGAGTCAGGTCCCAGTGGCTGTATGGTATACGAACTTGCCTTGTAACTGGAAGGTCCTAGATTTGAAACCCAGTGGGTGCGTACTGCCTATGAGTACCAAACTAAGCTGACGAAACAGATGTCCAGTACTCCTTAGCAGTTTTCAGTGGTTCTCTAACTGATATCAATCCGTGGTCAGATGCGAAAAACAAATCAGATCCTTTTGTAGTGGACTTAGCAACTAAGTATGTCTATACACACAATTAAAAAGGACAGAACAAAGACTAACAAATATGTATATATAAGATATTCAGTTCACTTAAGTTAGTATACACAAAAATACGAAGTTATTTGAAGAAAAACTATAATAGTCACAAAATACTCAAATTATAGCCGTACGAAATAATAGGGATGAAATTGTCCTTTTGTTGATTATGCAAATCCTCAACTACACCTTAGAGATGTCAACCGTCGGAGATCTCCCGCGTAGAGAAAAGCAGGTTGGAGCAGAATATCTTAATGTGGATGTATATGTCGACCAGTGCGAGACAGTTGGTCGGCAGATGTGCTGAGCGAGCAGCTGGAGAGAGAGAAACAGATTCGTTCGTTGCGCGCGGTTGAGTCCTTTTCAATCTCACATAACAACCACGATTTTCATCGGATTCCTTATTTTTCGGTGAACATATAATTTGGTATGTTTTTCGGCCGTCACACCTTACAAATCAACTCTTGAAAGTAATGAGAATGACTCATTACCAAATTACATGCGAATATGTCTACTGTGTCCCCATTTTTGTTTAATTTCATTATAGACGCTGACTTACTTTATTGACTTAGGGATTGGCATCGCATTAGGGAACAGTCTCATCGACTTAGGGCATGCAGATGTTATCATCCTCTTAGGTGAAGATGTTGACAAAATGCAGAGTTTTTCGGATGCCTTAAGAAGAAATCTTCGCATGTTTGATATGTGATTCGATCCTGTCCAATGGAAGATAATGTCAAAGGATTGAACTACACGGACTTCTAGATTTAATATAGGAAGTGAAATGGTAGGGCTTGACGATCATTTCATCTACTTAGAAAGTTGCGTCAGCCCTAATGGACTGATTACTCTGAGGAAATTTCAGCATGGATACAAAAGGCTCGTGTGGCGTCTGCCGACTTTTTTATCTCTGATGTGGACGTGATATCGGACTATCGATCAAAGGACGTGTGTACTGCGCATCAATTGGCTCAGTCTTCCTTTTTTTAGCCGTGAGACATTGTCATTGGAAGTGGAAAACTCGAGGGGGTTAGCTGTCTTTGACCACATGTGTCCGTATTCTATCTCCCTTGTTAAATGGTGAGTAGTATCAAAGTTGGGTGTAGTGCTAGGTAAGGAAGAGAAATCGTTAGATGAAGTTGTAAAGTTACGTCGATTGAGATGAGTAAGATACGTGTTACACATGCCGAGCCATTTCCTTCCTTGACGAGCTGTGTCATTTGACATAGAGCTGGGTTAGAGAAGAGCTATGGGGTGGTCAAACCAAAAACCTCATATCAGTCCATGAAAGTCTTTGACTGTTCGTTAGAGCCATGTAGAGAGATGTAGACTGCAGAGTTGAAGTCCTCGAAATGCTAAGAACCAGTGACTTGTGACTGTTCGTAATCTGGCTCAAAGTCGTTCCTAATGGAACAGAATCGCTGTTTCTTTTTCGAATCTCTGTTTTCTGTCTCTCTTTTCGCCACCTTTTTGCGCTAGATGCAGAGTGTGGCAACTTGAACTTCTTCACTTTTGTGCAGATTTCCATGTTGGGACTCAGTCAGTTGTATGTGAATATATGTGATTATCGGGTGTACAACATAGAAAATATTTCATTGGCTTTTTTCTGTAACCACTGAAGAAAATGCTCCAGTTAGATCGGGGGCACTCAGCTAGCTGATGTCATTGTATCAAACTGAGAGTGGGATTCAAGTGTTGGATTGTAGGGATTTGATTGGTTACAGGATTCCATCATGAGCTGACATTGGTTAGAGAACCATTGGAAAACCTGGGAGTACTGGACAGCTGTTTCGTCCTAGAATTCATGAGTCATTGGATCAGGTCCCAGTGGCTGAATGGTCTACGAGCTCGCCTTGTAACCAGAAGGTCGTGGGTTCGAACACCGGTGAGTGCGTTCTGGTGAAGTGTTTGAACTAGGACGAAACAGCTGTCCAGTACTTCCAAGTTTTCAAATGGTTCTCTAACTAATGTCAGCTCATGATGAAATCCTGCAGGTGGGATTATTTGAAGTATTTTGATATGCTTATTCGTCTTCTAAATTCTGTTATCAACAACATACGTAGGACTATCCAAAAGAAAGCACAAACTAATTATACGTATCTGTTATTCACAAATGGTGTGCGTGTATATTACTCAAATGGCACTTGCATCTCTATGCTGTTTAGCAATGCGCTACACATATTTTATGTGGACTAGTCATACTATTTGGCTGCTCGAATCTCGATAGGTGGAACGTGGTTGAAATCCGTTACCACCACATAGTTGGAAATCGATGCCGTAGACCACTGAGTCGCAGTTTCAGACATTTTTGAGTAATTTGAAGTCCTCCGTATTGTTTACCGTCAATTGATCCATGAGCCACTTAAGACACCTTACTTTTCAATTCGAAACTTATCCAATTTTATGTACGACGACACTAGGTCTCAGGTTAAAGTGAATGCAAGTTTCTTAACTTCTTTATGCATGTGTCTCGCGGATGGTTATCACTGATAAATTCCGGTTACATAACACTCGACTGTTGGTTCTCAATAACCTAAAAAACACATTTATGCTATACGTAGGATAGTTTTAAGTACTCAACTAAGCTTGTTACTAAACCTTCCAATTCTCCTGTCATCTAACCTTCTCACTTTAAATTGTCTTCATTACAGGTTAATATGCGTGTCGGTGTACATACAGGAAATGTAATTTGTGGTATTGTCGGGACAAGACGTTTTAAATTCGATGTCTGGTCAAATGATGTAACATTAGCTAATGAAATGGAATCTAGTGGAGAAGCTGGAAAAGTGCATATATCTGAAGCTACACTAAGTTTTGTCAAAGATATTTATGAAGTATCTGAAGGAAAACCTGTTCAAGGTATATGTTCAATTTATATGAATGTTATTCATTTATATCATTTTCCATCCTACAGAGAAGATTTTATTATTCAGTACATCTTAACAAGATAATAAATTCAACTAGTATGTTCTCTTGATCAATATTTTTATTTATTTATGTTTTATTCCTTCACTTTCCCAGTGGAACATAGTTACCTGAAGTTTCTGTAGCAGTGGTGTTTATTTTACGGGGTGGGGTTGCTAGCCCCATATCCAACCTTCCCTCTTTACCAGTTTTACTACTGGCTTAGCGAGGTAAAGAAGTGCGTCGGCCGAGAATCCAACCCGGAACCACATGAAGCCTGGTTGGCGAGCATTTTACCGCTGTGCCACTGACGCACTGATCAATATTTAGAAAGCGATTATTAGTTAAGCTGAACGACGAAATGGGTTTCAAATTGATACACTTTTTATTTTAAAATTCATCTATCGATCAGAAAATTCAAGTCTATTACAGCAGAAAAAAGTCAAAAAATGATGAAGGTAAAGGTAAGTTTTAAGAAGCAACTCTTTCTAGGGGCGAAATGAACAGAATTCAGCTAAGCTGATTTATAATAATAATAATAATAATAATAATAATAATAATAATAATAATCTATGTTATTCCAAAAACAGTACTTATAATACAGAATGGAATTCTCAGCATTTGTTACAATATTGCATCTGATTTACTCAAAATATAAATAAAATTAACCAGAGGAATTTGTCCACATTTACGGTATAAAGTCAGAAATATTCGAAGTACAAAATGAGAATAATAATAATAACAGTGGGTTTGTTTCAAACAGTATTGTCGATTCAGTTTGGAAATTTTAGCATGTGATAGATTATTGAATCTAATGCGTCGGTGGCATAGCGGTTAGGACGGTCGCCGACCATGCACATGGTCCGGGGTTCGATCCCCTGCCGACGCACACCCGATATCTATGGTCGGCCTGCAAAATTTGGGCTACCGATATCCATGCTGAAAATTCCATACTTGTGCTGAAAATACGGTGTGGCATCAAGCTGCAATCAAAATAAGAATAAATAAATAAAAAATAATATAGAATGGCGAGGTGAAAGACAAAATTAACAGTTATAATACAGCTTAAATGATGTTTACACTTACGAGAAAATAAACAAATAAAAACAAAAAGTTGAGAGGATTATAAATAAAAAAAGAATAACAATAAAGCTTGGTGGAATAAGGATGGAGAAAGTGGTTTGTTTATTAGTGCGAAGAGGATTAGTTAGTTCATGCCTGACACTATTTTCATCACATAAAATACATGCCATATATGGTATAGTGGAATTTTTATAGTTAGATGTGCTTGGATAAAGTCTTTTGAAAAGACTTCTTGTTTCCCCTGAGGAGACACAAAGTTGGAGCTGCGGGCAAAGTGGATGCTCACAGTCTAACAAAATTCCTATAGCAAATTTGTTGCATGACATCAAATGCCTGTCAATGACGGTTTCACCGTTATGGAACAATGGGATACCAATCGCCCTACCAACTGATAGTCTTCAGAGTTCTACGAAGTATGACGTAGTCATATTTTTTAAGCAATCCAGGAAAGAATAAGGGTGAACGGTAAAGAAGAATAGGTAAAATACGCGAGTTGACAAACTGTAAGAGGAGTGGTTGGGTTATGCCTGAGTGCCTTAACTTCTTAATGTAAAAAGTCAGACGAAATATTCTTTTAGAAATCGCTAAGACAAGGGAAGACCAGTTTGAGTCAGAAGGAAGAATTAATCCAAGATACTTAACTTCAGACTTGATTTTTATATCACTATCATTAATTATACAACGGTCATAGAAATTAACAGCTTCATTTAACTTTAACAGAAACTGAAATTAACAGTCTAGCATTTGGAAAGATTTAGATTAAGGCCATTAGACGAAGACCATTTACTGACTCCTGATAGAAAGCTGTTGATCTTAGTACAGTCTTGCTGGGAGTTAACAGACATTGAAATAGTTAGACCGTCCGCATACTTAACAAAGTTCATTTCATCAGACTGAAGCAAGTCAAGCAAAAAGAAAGAAAACAAAATGAGAAAGGACAGCGCCTTGAGCAACACCAGTGTCAGTAAGCGATGATGTGGACGACTTCCCCTGACATGCAGTGTACTGCTTTCTTGCTGAGAAATAAGAACGCAGCCATTTGACAACCTGACAGTTATTTTGAGTTTCAGCAAGCTTGTTTAACAAAATACTTTGAGGTACTGAGTCGAAAGTAGATGTGTAATCTAGGAAGGTGCTGCTAACAAATTTAGCCCCCTTGTCTAAGCTGGAGACAATGTTATGATACAAGACTGCAGATGCATCTAAAGTACTTCTACTGTGTTTATAGGCGAATTGTTTGGGATCGTTAAAGGCTTTAAGTGAAGGTTCAAAATTAATTAAGAGTAACTTTTCCATAGTTTTTAGAAAAGGAGAGGTAATAGCAATAGGTCTAAATTTAAAACATGTTCCAGTAGACGACTTAGGTATAGGTACAATTTTAATGTCCTTCCAAACGGCTGGCACGACATTTCTGGAAAAAGATTCATTAAATATGTCCATGAGAGGATAACACAGGATATCTCCACATTTTTTAAGAATAAGGCTAGGAAAACCACCCGAACCTAGGCTACAAGTGGGGTTCAGAGACTGGAGACATTTTAGAACGTCATTTGTATTGAAACCAGGGAAGCAGGTTTCATTAACACTTGTGACACTAGAAAGCTTGATTTGACCATGAACTGACTTCATTTAGAGAGCCATTGAAAACTAGCACGGAGTATTGGACAGCTGTTTCATCCTTGTTTTAGGCTATTCACAAGTACCCCTTGGTTTTCAATAGTTCTCTAACCGGGATCATTTCGTGCCCAAACTGGAAATCAATCAAATCCCTACAGATCAACACTTGAAGAATGAACTGATTTCCAAAGTTGGTACTCTCAGTTGCCTGGAATAGACTATGAGCCATACTTATTGCATGAGGGTCAAAGTGAGTGTGGTGGGGCTCAAACCAGAAGTCCATTGGCAGGAAAGCTGAATGCTCAAATCGGTGAGCCAAAACCCTAAAGACTCAGCATTATGAATGATAGCTGTTCAGCTAATGATAACATTTTCTGTTCACTTTTCGAAACAATGCAAAATACAGTAGACAGTGGAAGAAACAAAATTATCTTTACAGGATTTCATCATGAGCCGACATTGGTTATAGGACCATTGGAAAACCTTGAAGTACTTGACAGCTGTTTCGTCCTAGTTTGGGACTCTAGCAGTAAGCACCCACTGGGGGTCGAATCCAGGACCTACTGGTTGCAAGGTGAGCTCGTATACCATTAAGCCACTGGGAACCGATTCAATGGCTCATGAGTTCTAACTTCTGCCAATTCACGACATAGCGTGACCACTAGCCAATATCTTCGGCGAGTATTTGTCCTCACACCCGACCTGCTACACCTTACTGGTCACGACTTCTCACTAGAACCCTATGTAACGAACTACCTTCCCGAATAGGATCATTCGCTAGTGAGCATCTCATCGATATTTAAGTGTTGGTTTGCAGGGATTTGATTGGTTACAGGTTTCATCACGAGTTGATATCAGCTCGAGAACCATTGGAAAACCAGGGAGTACTAGACGCCTGTTTCGTCCTGGTTTACGACTCTTTTGGAGTATGCACCCACCGGGAACCAGAGGGTTAGGAGGACAGTCACTCGCTGATGATATTGACTGGCCCTGTATATCGCAAATTAGCAGAAGTTGGAATTCATGGGTCATTGGTTCGTGTACCAGTGGCTGAATGATCTGTGAGCTATCCTTGTATGCGAAAAGTTCCTTAGTCCGAACTCCGGTGGGTGAGTACTTATGAAGAGTCGCAAACTGGGACAAAACAGTCATCGAGTACTCACAGGTTTTCCATTGGTTCTCCGACTGATGTCAGCTTCGTGACCAAACCTGTAATCAGTCATTTTTGAGATCAGCTTCGTTGGAAGGTAGCATATCATTCAGTCAAAGATCTTCAGCTAGTTGATCATGGGTTCTAACTGTTTTTAACCAACTGAAATTTTATACATTTATTCCCCTTAATGAATTTGAACAAAGCAAGAACTACAGTTTTTCAGAATAAAAATGGTGCCATCTTTTATTTCGTTGCCTTCTCGTCAGCTGCTTGCAGACCAAAGACATTATTAAATATATCTACAAAAACAATTTTAACATACTTGCACAGAGTTCATTTTAAACAAAAATCAATCGATCAATATACGCATACACTAATAATATATATATATATATATATATGCAATATTAAACACAATTCCGAACAATAATAATCATACACAATGGAAACTTTTCAGCGTTTCGCATTCGGATGAAAAATATCCAGTTACCAGGGCAAATAGCGACTGATAACGGCTTCTTTCTGAACGCATAAATCAGGTTTCAGGTGCTTGATGGAAATGGCCTCAGCGAACTTAAGGAGAATTGAGCTCTTTTGCTTATTGATAATTTTGAACGACTTTTCGACGTCCACCTCATGACCCGTGTTGAGGAGATGCCTGGCTGTGGCACTGTTCAAAGCATTTGTTCCCTTTAGACATAAGCTTTTTTGTACATGTTCAGAAAATCGTAGATATATGCCCTTCTTTCTGTTCTTCCAATGTAACTGCTCCCGCGGATACATGTAAATTTGTATATATAGTTGGAGTTAACATGAGAAGGATATCTATCGATTTTTGATTGCATCAAACAGCAAGTTGTTCGATAGATTTGAACGAGCTTAGCCGCAGGTTAGGCTCTTGCTTGTGACGTACTCAGCCTTCTGTTGATCATCACTGCAATGTTTTCACGTTTATAATCAAGCTGAAAGTAGATTGGCTGTTTTCCTACTGTGATTTGTTTTACATTTGTGACTTCAGATCTTCTATACTTGTTGATGAACCTTTGGGGGTACGTATTGCTCTTCAATATCTTTTCAAGAAACTCAAATTCTTCCTCTAATTTCTCTATAGAGCATATTCTTCGCCCTCTATAGTACAGAGTCTTGACTAGATCACGTTTAAAGATATTTGGACAAAAGCTTTGTTCAAATAGAAATTTTATTAGTCGACTGGTATCGTCAGTGGTCGTCGTTAACACAATAGGTGTGACTGACCGCTAACTGAGTGCTTATGTTTGTTAACTTTTAAGTAGCGCTGTTTTTCCTCGAGTTTACTTGAGCAGCTTTTCTTGTCCTTCTGGACGACGCGCTTACTTCATTGTGAAGTTAGCATTGTGAAATTCTTCAGTGAATGATTAGTTGTCTTCAGAAGTATTCTTATTTTCTGTTTATTACCTTGTATTTTTATCGATTGTTTCGTTGACGTGTGAGATATTTGACCTTTTTGCTTTGTGACATATTCTGTATTGATTATCAAAATAGAATCCAAATAACAACTTTTCTGTTAAGTGAAGATTGATCTGAATAACCAGGCGATTTTTAGGAATTCTCTGACAGTTTTAGTATACATTTGCTGTTTTAAAATTTTCAGGTTTTCAAAGTTCTATTGCTGTCCGTAGTTGTCTGTATGTATTGATCTACGGGCAAGGGGTGGGTGGTTGGAGGTGCAGGGAGGGAAATATGACAGCTGTATTTTCAGTGACAGTTGTGTCAACGTGAATTATTATTCAGTGATTCAAGACCCTATGTCAAAGAAGTAATTTCCTTATGTGTTGAATATGTTTCCAAGAGAAGTCTACATAATGATTTCAAACTAACACTAATTGTTTTTTTCTTCAGTATCATAGTTAGTGCGTCGGTGGCACAGCGGTTAGGACGCTCACCTACCATGCACATGGTCCGTGGTTCGATCCCCGGCCACTGATGCACTCCTTTACCTCGCTAAGCTGGTAATAAAGCTAGTAAAGAGGAAAGGATGAGCATGAGACTAGCAACCCCATCCTGTAAAAATAATCACCATTGCTACAGAAACTTCAAGTCTCTAGTCTGAAGCTCTATGTTCCACTGGGAATGTGAAGGAATCATAGTTAGTGAGCACTCAGTTATTCTGAACAGATTTATTATGTAGCAGGCTGCATGAACCGTAATTGTTATTGTATGAGGGTTGATGACACCACCTAGATACCCAAGTTTCATGAGGTGAAGAATGTTCGCAACGTGTTTCGAGGCAGTTAATAATCGGGTGTATAAACTGATGCGCCATCCCTCCATCGATTTTCACTTTTCATAGGACAGATAACATCAGTCACTGGAGGACTTAAAGCTAAAACTCAACTTGTGCATAACGTGGTTTTTTTTAAAAAAATTGAACAATTTTCACAAATTATTGATTTTAGATTAATTTCGCATTTTCCGTCGATTGATGATATTGGACCGAAATGTTCCGTGTCTGTTGACGAATCGCCTCCTAGTACGTATGCTGGTTGTACAAGAGGTGACTGTTGTCCTTCCAATGGTCTAGTTTCTTTTAGCCATGGTTGCGAAGCTTCCATTGTCCTTCCTTCTAGACAACATCTTCAGCAAAAGCTTCAATATAAAGTGGACTTATATGCATTCTCCATCTTGATTAGTTGTTAACTCACATGAGTACTGATAGTTTCCATTGACTTTGAATTTAACTTTTTATTATTAGTTGATAAATTTGATCTGTAGTAATAGATTGACTAATCGCTGATTCGTGTGATTATGAGGCTTCTAGAAATTCCCTGGCATATTTTGATGTTTCTGTTGTTTAAACATTTCTACATTTTTCTAATCGAATTGGTGACCAAAGTTGTCTACGCGTATTGTTATAGATGAATACATGGCGTATCTTTTGATAGCTACACTTGATGTTCTTGGACTCGAAGTCTAGATCAAATTTATCAACTAATAAAGAATGCTAGACAGCTGTTTCGTTCTATATTTTCGTCATTTTTTGGTGTCTTTTTGTTTTCCCTTCTCAACTCCTTTCTTTTTTTTTTGTAAAATTTAGATATACGCAAATTTAAGGTGTTAATTGAATTCTTCAATAAAGAAGAACAATGCTTTGCTATAAAACATACTCAAGATGAAGCAAGTAAGCAAGCAGTTTACTCATCACATGTTAATCAATGAATGAATTAATGAATTCATTTTTCCAAGCTTTTTTTGTTGTTGAAGAAAATCAACGTTCTCATGACAATCTATTATTATTATTGTTGTTTCCTTTAAGTCCTAGAGGAACATAGGGCTTCAACCGCATGTCTCCATTGCGTTCGGTTCTCTGCCAATGTTTTCACCTGACTCCACATCTGCCCACATGCTTTCATGTCCTGTTCACACGACCTCCTACACGTCACCCCACCCTCCTACTGACGACCAACTCGCCGCTTCCCATTCATGTTCTACTCTAGCAATGGCCTGGCGTTGGTTTTGTCAGAGTATGACCAATTCACCTCCATTTCTTCCTGCATATTTGCTGCACAATTGGTTCCTGCTGGGTTGATTCGATCATTGCCAGAGATCCCTGTTGCTGTTCTTTTCTGGCTGGCCATCTGATCTTGAGTGGTATTGAGCGAAGGGAACTGTTGATGAAGGTGTGTAGTTTGTTCAAAGTGGCCTTCGTGATGCGGCGCCAAGTCTCTTATCCGTATAGTAGCACTGACTGACTTCACATTGGAGTTGAAAATCCGGATCTTATTTCCATTTTCATGCTGAGTGCTGTTGTTCTCCACAAAGGCTTCAGAGAAATGAAAGCTTACTTTGCTTTCCCGATCCTCGCTTTGATATCCTCATCAGTTTCGTCCGCCTGTAGTTGAAACGATGCTTCCTAGGTCGGTAGGTGGAGGAGGTTGCTTCTTTCAAATTTCTCCCATTTATGCTGGCTGATTGTTGTCTGTTGTTGTTGTTGTTGTTGGGCAGGAATCTTCATCACCACATCTGTTTTCTTTATGTTCACCTGAAGTTGATGAAATTATTGACTTGTTTTTTCGTAGTTATTTTTACATTTCTTATGCTATTATTAGTGTTAATAGTACTGTTAATAATAATAATAATATTAATAATAATAATAATAATGGCAGTAATAACAATGGTTGTATTAATAGTGAGTATACACATATATTACAATAATAGGCAAGATTTGCAGCTCAGGTGAATGATTTTGATGTGATGGTTGTATTCTCTCAGCTGGTTAATTTAATTGCAAAGCTTTCATTGTCTGTCCTCCTAGAAAACATCTTCAACACAAGTTATTATATAAAATGAACTTATTTGAAATGTCTTTCCATCAAGGAGACTATTGTATCTCCTGACAGGCATTCTTGCGGAATAGAATAGCAGAGAAATATCGATTAACTGTCTTCAGAAAGAATGCATACGCACAGAGAATTTCATCAGAAAACAATATGCTTAAACTCAAATCGAACTACCAACAAGAAACCATCCTCAAAAACCATAAGACCATTCATTCTACCCCATATATATATATATATATATATATATATCCAACACTCCAATATGGATAAGATTTTATTTTGATAAATCATACAGTGTTACACAGTAATATTAACTGATGACGTTTCGAGCATAAACTATTGCTCATAATCAAGTTACTCACAGAACTTTCTGCTTCATTTATATACATATGTGGAATTGATGATTAGACATTTGCATAAAAATCAATCTAAGATTATAAAGTACGTTCAGAAATAATAACACAAAACCACACAATAGAGTGGGAGAGGTTTACGATTCTAAGAAGTAATATATGTAGATGGAGAGAGAGATTGATTACTGAATCCTGGTTAATTGAGTCTACACCCAACACATGCAACAGAAATGACTCAACACAAATACCAGATATATGGAAGATATTATTACCACCAGTCAGTCAAATCAGAGGAGGATAATAAATAATCTCAAAATTCTATTTCAATTCACGTACATCATAACATTCTAACAAGTTACTTATTTTGACTATAAAAACACTCGTCTTATTTCCCATCTGATTGTATTTGATCGATAACACTCATATTATTATTTCTGAATGTACATTATCCTATACTGGCTTTTATTCAAATGTCTAATCATCAATTTCACTCCTGTATATAGTAGATGAAGCAAGAAAGTTGTGGGAGTAGTGACTTGATATGATTTATGAGCAGTAATAATTTGTGCTCGAAACTTGGTCATCAGTTAATAGTATTGTACAACACTGTGATTTATCAAAATAAAATTTTATCCATAACTGAGTTATACTCTACCACAGTGCCCACGTTTTATGCTTATATCAAAGGATCCAACAGCGGAAGCAGATAAGATCGATAGCATTTACAAAATAAATTGCATAAACTGCAACACTACACTAGTCAAGGTGGCTATCCCCTTCGAATTAGAATTCAATATTATAAATTAGCTGTGAAAAGACACGATATATTTATTCTTCCCTATCGATACATGTAGACAATTATGGGCACCAATTTGATTGGAAGAATATAGAAATTTTAAACACAGGAAACACCAAAAATGCAGTCAGGGAATTTTTTAGAAGCCTGGTACTCAAATGAATCAGCAAATTAACAAACACACATTACTATAGACCAAATTTATCAACTAATAAAAAATAAATTATATGACAAGTAATTTCAAATCCCAAGTCAACAGAAAATGATCAAATGTAAATTGACAACCAACCAGTCGCAATAATGGTTGTCAGGAGATACAGTTATATCCTTCATGGAGAGACATTTCAAAAGAAGTTCACTTCGTTAATAAAGCCTATACTGAAGATGTTGTCTAGATGGACAACGTAAGCTTCTCAGGTAAATCAACCACCTCATAGAACACAGTTCAGTCAAACTGAATGTGTATTCAATGACGCGTTGGTTGACGTTTTTGACACACTTTATCTGCTAATACGTAATCACGTCAATCTGATCACAGAAGGTTCGATATTCAAAGTTTTTTTTGCATTGTGATTCAAAGGGAACGCCCACTTTGACCAGTGTAGTGTTTATCGTATTTTTTTATTGGACACTAGTCAGTAACTAGTGTAATGTATCTAGTCCTATCTTTTGTGCAGACTGAATTCTATCAGTCAAGCTTGCAATGTGGCCACCATGCCAGGTGGCTCGCCATCACGGTGCACTGTGAATTGTTGACAGTAGATGGTTGAAGGCAATTGGCAGGAAGCCCTGCTCTACCTAGGTTTCGCTCTAGTTGGCACTCATCAGCAAGGCGTATCTGCAACCTCGAAGGAACTCGGTCCCTCCTGAGAACCATTGGAAAACCAGCTGGGAGTACTGGACAGTTGTTTCGTCCTAGTTTGGAACTCTTGAGTAGTACGCACCCACAACAAGGTTCGAAACCAGGACCTTCTGGTTACAAGGCGAGCTCGTAGACCATTGAGCTACTGGGACCCGATCCAATGGTTCATGAATTCTGGGACGAAACAGCCGTCCAGTACTCCCAGGTTTTCCAATGGTTCTCTAACCTTGGGAACCAGTGAAATCCCCTTCCAAAAGTAACATTTTTCTGGAAATTATTTTACAACTTTATATTTTATTTGTTATTTTTGGCTAAGTAAGTTCCATATTCGAATATTTTGAAGTGATCAGTCAGATGATGTGTATAAAACACTTTCATTGTTCAAGTGTATCTATTATATATTTTAATGATTTCTAGTCATTTTGCTCTGCATCAATCGATAATTATGCATGCAATATACCAATTTTTATGTTATGTAGTGTATATATATGTATAATTCGATAGCTATGAATATTTGTGTGTGTGTGTGTGTGTTTGTGATTGTGTATGCGTATGCGTATGCGTGAATGTGTGTGTGTCCACTTATACTGTCTTACATATATGTGCGCATACTGCTAATAACTTCAAAGAACTGAAAAGAATGAATTAATCAGTGATCATATTTTATGAGGTTATAGTGCATAAAGAAAGTGTGTGGAGAGTTGAATATAGATTGTTTCCATGTTTGTCTGTCTATCTGTCTATTTTGTATGTTTGTATGTTTTTTACGAAATATTATCAATAATAATATATATTTGTTTACCTGTGATAGAGTGGCATCTCATAATGATGGGACTCAGAATGTGTATTTTAATTAAGGTCAGAATTTATCAGTTGAATATACTGGCAATCGTAATGTTCCTGTCTGTCTAAATGCAAAGTACTGTTGCAAGTTTGACAGGAGCCTTTACCTGCACTCACTCTTGCAGGTAAACCGCTTGAAGTTGTTGATAAGTTTGTGTATCTGCGTAGTTGTGTGAGTGCTAGCGGAGGGGTGATGGATGAGATTTCCAACCGTGTCATGAAAGCTAGGATGGTATACGCTAACTTGAACTACCTCAGGCGCTGTCGCGATGTTAGGCCTGGCTGTCAAAGGTCGGGTATACAATGCTTCGGTGTAGGCTGTCTTGCTCAAAGCCTGTGAAACCTAGCTTCTCCGAACTGAGGATGTGTGGCGGCTCTGCGTATTCGATCATCGCTGACTTGATAGGATTGCTTGCGTTCGATAGCATCATCGCGTGAGTAATTCTGAGATCCGGTGGTGTGTGTTTGGACACAGTGGAGACCACCATTTATTGAGTGTCGTCGTCTGGAAACACCGGCTTTGGTGGTTTGGACATGGGCTGCGAATGTCATCCCAGAGGCTTCCTTACAGGTCTCTGTTTGCTAGCCTTGGGACGGGATGGAGAAAGCTCAGAGGTGGTCAGCTCATGACGTGGTGTCGTGGGATGAAGGATATTTGTGTTAGGTTAACTAGCATCGGTTGGTGCGTCACGACTCCCTGGTTGGAGTCCGAGAGAAAACTCAAATCGGTAGCTTGAAAGGTTATCGGATATGGCCAAGAATCGCAGTCATCAATGGCGAACTTGCAGCAATTTCCTTCTTTCATCCTTTCCCGACGATAATTGACAAATGCATACTTGAATTTGTGGAATATGACTGTTTTCCTTCCAGATAAAGTTCTTTATCCGTTCTCTACTTGCATTTTTACTTTTAATATATGTTGTTTTATTATTATTATTATTATTATTATGTGGCGCATCTTCTCGGTGCCATATTGTATCAAGTATT